TTACGTATTCATTTCAATTTAGAAGTGCTTACAGTTTCCATTCGATATTAATCGTTTGTATCCCCGAGCTTATTTTCTATTCACTTTATATTATTTTCTGTCTATCACTACTATGGCACCTACTTTCTCTGCTTGCAAAACTATTGAGTCACTTGTTTTTATGTTCGATAGATCTTCTTTATATCGTTTCTACTCATGGGTCCTTTGTGCACCAAATATTGTTGGCATAATTTCTATTTACTTCTGTTTTGATTCATACGGTAGCCTCTGAAGTATTTATAACCTCGACTAAACTGTCCTTGAATACCTTCCTTTCATTCCCAAGTGCAAACTTCAATCCTCTTGGAACTGGGCAAAGCTCAAAATAGATATCGATATTTCTCGTAAGATCAGCTATTCTGTCGTTTTATAAGTAACCCTCTTAACCAACTTGCTACTGATCAAGACGCGTGTGTATTTTTATAGTCTGTTGCTTAACCACCTCAACAGCACGTTTAGATTTTCAAATAGAATTATATGCTCCGTTGACTGGGGAATCCTTGCCTTAAGATTTAAGTTTTGCTTAACTATAATGAAGCAAATGTTAACTGAGATACCAGTCACCTGTCTGGTTAATTTATTCTTTGACTTACCACAGTTTCCTGCCCCATATTTATTAGAGCAATTATTTATCATCCTTCTGGGTTTTTTAAAATTAATTTTAGTCAAATTCTCAGGCTCCCAATGATTCCGGTAAGCATAAGGGAGCTCATTCCATAACTTCATCCGCCAGTGTGTCTTTTGCTTCTGGGCCTGGACCAGCTGCCTTTGCCCGCGAACAACTCGCCTTGAATGGCAGTCCCTCAGCAGGACGGCGGTCACCGCAGGTCGGCGCACTATCAATGCTGGCCAATGACGAGTCCAATGGTCTGTCGGTTACTTGCCTAAATCAACGATGTAACGAGTTCACCTTTTCTCCAAATGCCACTGTTGGTGGTGCACTTGCTCGGAAGGCGGCCGCTCTAGCAGTCTCGGGGGAGGTTGGTTGGGAAAAGTTAGTGAAGTCTTTAGCTTTTGTATTCAATCTTGATTATGCAATACAAATCGACACGTAACAGTGAATGTGTGTTCTGAGTGTAGCTACTCTGCAAAGATGTACTACAAGCTTCCACAGCCATGTGAACTGGAAGCCGGCAAACGACTTTGCTCGAAGCTAAATTTTTATCTGCTATATTTGGCCAAATTTTGCTTTTAGACAGGCAAATTCCGAAGAAAGCTATCCCGATTACTATTTAATCTTCATCTTTCAGTCGTGATTTAAGGCATATTTATTGATTTTGAAAGCTTTTTATTTTCATTCGTATGAATTCATTTTAGTGTAGACTTCAGTCAACAACAAGGAGCTATTGCATGGACGTAACCCATTCTCGTATGTATGCGGCCTATCCTTTTGATATTTGTTGAGGTAATCCTTTTAGGCTCAATTTCGCTGACAAGACATTCTTCATATACTCGACCTTTATATTATCGCAAAACGGCCGGTTGTATAATGTTCAAGCCATCTGTTTCCCCTTCCTTGGCAATGGCTTTCTTCGATTCTCTCTTACGCCGGGTTGATACTTCATATTGTTTCGCATGTTATTTATATTCGTAGACCTTAGTCGTCCAACCGCTGTCCCGTCACAAGTGTTACTTTTTTTCCGTCTGTCGCTGAAAATGTTTTCCAAACAATATGGCAGGCTCAACATTCCCAGCACAAGGATGAAGGGGGGTGAGAAGGCCAGCATGGAG